TAGTTTACTATTTAAATTTGATATGATCCTAATCTAACAACTAAGATTAGAATTCTTGAGTCCTTTGAAGACAATGACAATTTATGTAGTTTACTAGCTTCACCTCCTTGTTCCGAAGAACCTTGGTCTTCCACTCTAGAATCGCAACAGGCCTCTCAATGTAGTTCAGGCTCTCGTCCACCTGAATGTCGTCCAGAGAAACGACCGCGGCCTCGTCGGTGATACACTTCCGAAGCTGTGACACGTGAAAGGTGTTGTGAATCTGTCTAAGCTCATCCGGAAGATCCAGGCGATAGGCCACCTTGCCCACCCGGGCCGTAATCCTGAACGGTCTAATATATCGGGGCCCCAACTTGCCCCTCTTCCGAAACCTGATGACTCCCTTCCATGGCGACACTTTTAGTAACACAAAGTCTCCTACCTTGAACTCAAGGTCCGATCGCCGTCGGTCAGCATAACTTTTCTAACGGCTCTGTACAACTCGCAGCCGGTCGCACACCTACAGAATCAACCCAGTAGTCTTGAGCACTACCCCAGTGTTCCCCATGACTCGGTGTCCAACCTCACCCCAACAAACCGGGGACCTACATCTCTGACCATACAACATCTCAAACGGAGGTCGATCGATATTGGCATGGTAACTATTGTTGTATGAAAACTCTGGCAATGGGAGGTATGTATCCCAACTACCTCCAAAATCCAACATGCATGCCCAAAGCATATCCTCGAGTGTCTGGATCATCCTCTCACTATGGCCGTCTGTCTGGGGGTGGTACGCCGTACTAAAATGTAACTGAGTGTCCAGTTCCTCGTGGAACTTCTTCCAGAATCTAGATGTAAATCGGACATCCCGGTCCGAGACTACTGACACTGGCACCCCGTGTCTAGACACCACCTCCCGCACATAAATATCCGCCAATTTCTCAGCGGATATACTCTCAGAGATCAGAATGAAGTGGGCACTCTTTGTCAGCCTATCCACAATAACCCATATGGCGTCCACACCCCTTGCTGTCCTCGGTAACTTCGTGATGAAGTCCATAGTGATCTCCTCTCACTTCCACATAGGAATTGGTAGCAGCTGAACCTTGTCATGCGGCCGCTGATGTTCGGCCTTGACCTTCCTGCAGGTCAAGCACCGCCCCACAAACCAAGCGATCTCCCGCTTCATGCAGGGCCACCAATAGCTCAGTTTCATATATCTATACATTTTTGTAGCCCCGGGATGTATAGAGAACTTGGACTTGTGTGCCTCCTCCAATATCTTCTGTCTCACTACTCGAGTCACCGGTACCCACACCCGGCCACACTGTGTCAGAAGACCTCGGCTATCCCGAACAAACAAGGGATATTGACCCCAAATCCGCTCTATCCTCCAATTCTCTTTCTTCACACCCTCGAACTCAGCTTGTTTGATCAAATCAAACAATGGAGAGATTACCATCATCCTCAAGCAAACGTTCCCAATCAGGGAACCTGCCGCCTTGCGGCTCAAAGCATCGGCCACCACGTTGGTCTTCCCTGGATGGTATAAGATCTCACAGTCATAATCTTTCAGCACATCCAACCACCTCCTCTGTCGCATGTTGAGATTCTGCTGATCCATCATATACTTCAAACTCTTATGATCAGTAAAAATAGTGCACCGCACACCATACAAGTAGTACCTCCAAATCTTGAGGGCAAACACCACTGCCCCAATTCCAGGTCGTGAGTGGTGTAATTCACCTCATTAGGCTTCAACTGCCTCGAGGCGTAAGCGATCACATGCCCCCTCTGCATCAGTATCGCGCTTAACCTTGAGATCGATGCATCACAGTACACTACCAAGTCATCCAACCCTTCAGGTAGTACTAGAATCGGAGCCTCACATAACCTCTATCTCAGGGTCTCAAAAGCCAACTGTTGATCCGTGCCCCATCGAAATGTCACATTCTTCTTGGTCAAGCAGGTCAAAGGCACAGCGATCTTGGAGAAATCCTGGATGAATCCCCGATAATAGTCCGCTAAACCCAAGAAGCTACGGATCTCGGATGCATTCTTCGGTACTTCCCACCGCATCACTACCTCAACCTTGGTTGGATCCACCAAAATACCCTCCTGGTTGATAATGTGCCCCAAAAATTATACCTCTTGCAGCCAGAAATCACACTTGGAGAACTTGGCATAAAGCCTTTCCGTACTCGGTGTCTCCGATACCTCCCTCAGATGTTGCTCATGCTGCTCCTTGGTCTTAGAATAGACCAGGATACCATCAATAAAAACTATCACTGACCGATCCAGCATCAGTCTACACAGTCTGTTCATGAGATCCATGAACGTTGTTGGGGCATTGGTCAGCCCAAACGGCATCACCACAAACTCATGGTGCCCATACCGAGTCCTGAAAGCTGTCTTCGGTATATCCTCGTCCTGAATCCTCATCTGGTGGTACCCTGACCGAAGATCAATCTTGGAGAACCAAGACGGACCCTGCAGCTGATCAAACAAATCATCGATCCTCGGTAACGGATAATGGTTTTTCACCGTTAGTTTGTTCAGTTCTCGATAATCAATGCACATCCTGTGGGACCCGTCCTTCTTTTTCACGAACAAGATCGGAGCTCCCCACGGGGAACTGCTCGGACGGATAAACCATCGGTCTAGCAACTCCTGAAGCTGCGTAGATAACTCCTGCATCTCGGGCGGAGCTAGCCGGTACGGTGCATTTGCTATCGGAGCGGCACCCGACACTAAATCGATGTGAAACTCCACCTGCCTCTCCGAAGGCACTCCAGGCAACTCCTCGGGAAATACATCTCGAAACTCCTATACAACCGGTACACTGTCCAAATCTGTCGTGGTCTCAACCCTCGTATCCGAGTTATATGCCAGAAATCTCATACAACCCTGTTGCAAAAACCTCCTAGCCCTCGCAGATGAATAGAGGGTTGGCCCCTGTGAGGCCCTCTCTCCCTGAATAACCAGTTCTCCCCCACTTGGGGTTCGAACCCTCACTTACAGGCACTCGTAATCGATCATGGCCCCATTGGCCCCCAACTAGTCCATCCCGACAATCAGCCTCAGCCCTCGCAACGGTATCGCGACTAGATCAACACGAAACCTCTCCCCAAGCACATTCAGGACACAGTCCCGATACACCCTCGCAGCACTCACAGTGCGGTCGTTCGCAATCTCAACCTCGAGCGGGGATTCCAGAGTCCCCGGTGTATCCCGAAACTTCTTGCTAAGAGCAAGAGACACAAACAATCAGGTAGCTCCCGAATCAAATAAAACGTGAACCGACATACCATTGACCAAAAAGGTCCTGAAACTTCATTTTCTTAAACATTTTTTTCTCTTATTTAAATATCATTGGTAAAACAAATAAAGAGGGGGCCCACCTCACACACACACACTCTCTCTCTCTCTCTCTCTCTCTCTCTGGGAGAAGGGAACCTAGAAATCGACTTGCCAAATCCATTTAATCTCATATATAGATTCTCGGATTGTTGGGAATTTAGACCAAATGATTGATTGTTCATCGTCTCTAGACCCCATCCCATGTTTATCTTTTATTTCTAAATTTCTTTACCCATCTAAATCAAGGCCTATAAACTATTTTTGATAAAACTAAACTCCAAACACCACCAAAATAGCTAACAAAGACAAGTGGGACAACCCTTCAACACCACCTAACAACCCAAAACCTTTTATGGCTTGAACTTCATGGGATCATCCCTGACCTTTGGATCCATACCCATCTTAGCCACCATGGATTTAATGGTGGCACCCTCTAGAATTGTAAACCCTAAAAGTTTAGGTTCCGAGAAAAATCGAGGAATTTTTTGTTTTTAAAGGTGAAACAGATTGATTTTGTTTAGATTTATGGACAATATGAGGTTTGTTTGAAGGTCTCGAAAGCAATATTCTTGAACCTCATTCCAGGACACCATTGAATCCTCATTATAACTTTTACAGTCCAAGCTTTTGACATAGAACTCTAACGTGATAGCTTGTAGTTGTTGGTGTTATTCTTGTTATGATAACAAATTCTGGCAAACCCACCATCGTACAGAGACGAAGAATGAGTGGAGCTCTGAAGAAAGCCTCCGTTGATTCCTCTGTTTGCTCTCGTGATTTCGGTGGTTGGAATGACAAATAAGGGGTTACCTTTTGAATTGGAGTGAATGGAGAAGATGAGTCTTGTTGCTTCTGATTACGAATACACTCACCGAATCATAGTCAAGTTACAGTGAAGAAGGGTGATGAGGGAACAAATTTTAGAGATGAGTGAAAGGGTAGAGAATGACGGTGCATGTAAGGAATAAGAACCAAAGGGCTTCTAGACCGACAGTATCAGGTGTTGCTCTCCATCCTTGAGCTTGAGGGTTTAAGTCCCTTCGTGGACATAAATGGATTTAATGAGTAGTTTAGGAGTAGATTAGATTTGTGATTAAAAAAATATAAGGAATAAGAAAAAGAAGACAAAGACGATGAGGGTGGAAATTTTGATTAAGAAGGAAGAGATGAAGAAGATGAAGTGTTTTTCTTTAGGTAAAAAGAAAGATATGAAGAAGATGAAGTGTTTTTCTTTAGGTAAAAAGAACAAAAAAACAGATGTGTGGATATATATATATATATATATATATATTATATATATATATATATATATATATATATATATATATATATATATATAGAGAGAGAGAGAGAGAGAGGGCCCACCTCTTTATTTGTTTTACCATTGAGTCTCTAAATAAAAGAAAAAAATGTTTAAGAAATTTGAAAAAAAAACAAATTAAAACGATATATTAATCTTTTCAAGTTTAGCATAAAATAATTTTATAACGAAAAACAATCCAAAAATATCGTGGTTTTGACCGTACCGAAAAAAATACATACCATTAAGAAAACCAATAAATCAATAAAGATTTTTTTTTTAAAAAAAAATCAATAAATTAATTATAGATCTTTGAATACCATATTATAACATTTTAAAATAAAATTTAACGAATTGGTCTGCTGACAATCTCAACGTCTACAGACGTTCACAAATCACAAATTTTTTCCCCAAAATCCTCCAACACGTCGCCACCGGATCACCACCGTAGTCAAACCCTAGCCACTGCGCCGCAATTCCAACCCTCACCACTTCCACCACATCACCAGAAAGACGTAGAGACAAAGCATTTGCACAAGCACGCAGTTTTGAAAAACAAACATGAGGCCACCGAAGAAGACGATCCACGTGATATCGTCATGGATACAGCGGCAACCGCCAAAGGTGAAAGCTTTTCTCGCCGTAGTCGCAGGCATGGTGGCCTTGGTGTTGCTACGCGCGATTGTGCACGATCACGACAATCTCTTTATTGCTGCCGAAGCTGTTCACTCCATTGGAATCACCGTCCTTATATATAAACTCTCTAAGGAAAAAACTTGTGCTGGTTAGTAATTTAACAAATTGATCTAAGCATCATTTACTTGTTTAATGCAATTCAGTATAATTCCCTTCTCTCTTAGTTCTCCATATCAATGTCATTATGGAATTACCTCGGTTTTCGTTTCATCATAAATTATTGTTTTTGTATTTCAAAATTGAATTGGATTCCAAGAACTCCTGGATAATAATTTGACATGTACATTGCCCTTTGTAATTTGTAACTAACTATCCCTACAAATTGAATGCCATTGATTTATGTCTTTGGTTTTTCTTAATGATAACAGTCTAAAATGTATGACAAATTGACACACGATTGCAGGCATATCACTGAAAACACAAGAGCTAACAGCAATGTTTTTGGCTGTTAGACTTTATTGTAGTTTTGTGATGGAATATGATGTACACACCCTGCTTGATTTATCCACATTCGCTGCAACTTTGTGGGTTATCTTTATGATCCGTTTTAGACTCAAGTCAAGCTACATGGAGGACAAAGACAACTTTGCAATGTACTATGTGGTAAGCCTTGCATCCTAAGTGGACGGAATTGAATTCTTTGGGAAAAATTACCTATTTGCCCATTACCTTTATATCAACTTTCTTTTGTAGGCTGTTCCTTGTGCCATATTAGCTTTGTTAATTCATCCATCAACATCACATCACATTATCAACCGGATATTTTGGGCATTTTGTGTTTATCTTGAAGCTGTTTCTGTTCTACCTCAACTTAGAGTCATGCAGAACACAAAGGTTTATAATCATAATTCATAATATATATAACAATATAACATCTTCCATTTTTGTTCCTTTTTTTCTTATTTTTCTATGACTCTTTTTGGTAGATTGTTGAACCTTTCACTGCTCATTATGTATTCGCTCTTGGTGTCGCAAGGTTCTTAAGCTGTGCTCATTGGGTTCTCCAGGTTTGACTTTGACTTTTTTTTTATTGTTTTTCATTTGAGTTACATTAATTATTTTATTTTTTTTCCGTTTGACAGGTTTTGGATAGTCGTGGGCATCTGCTTACTGCCTTAGGTTATGGTTTATGGCCTTCAATGGTTTTAATATCAGAAATTGTCCAAACTTTTATATTAGCCGACTTCTGTTACTACTATGTGCAAAGGTACATGTATACTTCATGCTTATTAGGGGTAAATACGTCAAAACAACATATTACCATGTCATAACCTTTGTGTTTGTTTTTGTTAATTTTCAGTGTTTTTGGAGGACAACTTGTTTTACGTCTACCTTCTGGAGTCGTGTAGGCCAATAATTGTATTGTTGATCGATTTATTTTTTTTTTCACTTTTTTCATTTTCATTTTATACATGTTCAAATTTTGTGATTAGAGTTTTTGTGTTTTGTGAATTGGTGGATGGTTGTAAATTTGGTGACTGTGGTCATATGGTTTAAATTATAACTCCTCTTTTAACTAAATTCCAATGTCTATAGTGGACAAATTGTGTTAAATAGCAACTTACTTATCTGTTTCTACAAAAAATGATATGGTGGATGACATGGCGAAATCGCAAATGCCATGTCAGCATGTTTGACAAGTCCACAAAAAATGATTATATTGGTAAATGAATATTAGTTTGTTGCTATCATCAGTAAAAAAGATAATTTATAAAGAACGATGTGTATGAAAGACTATTTCTTGCACACCAGGTGTGAAGTATTTTCATATTAACTATCACATATTTATATATGGCAACATTTAACTGTTTTGACTTTCAATTTCCAAACAATACTTTATTTATTTTATTGGAATTGAAGTCAAAACTTTTGAGGCTCAAAACAAGAGCGTTATTACACGGTCAAGTTCTTTGTAAGAATACCTTCAAATGTAACCCCAGGCCCAAAAGCCAAAATAAGGCCCAAATCAGGCCCACCGTCTTTCCCTTCTTTCTTCCTCTTCAAACCCTCTTCAATCAAATACTCCAACACATACACAATCGTATTACTACTTGCATTTCCATAATCCGCCAAAGCCTTTCTACTTGCATTCAATTTATCCGGCAATAAATCAAGTTTCTTCTCTAGCTTGTTCAATATAGCCGGCCCACCAGGATGCACGGCCCAAAACAAATCATTATATGCCATCTCATTAGGCCCATAATAGCCCATTAACTTGTCACAAAACCCCTTCACATTATCCTCAATGATTTCAGGAAGATCTCTATCTAACCTAAAGCTAATCCCCTCTTCACTTAGCCTCCCGTCAATAACCTTTTCAGTGTCGGGCAAGAAATTTTGTATCGCAGTATGCATCTCAAACAACGGGCTTTCGGGCCCGGTGGGGTCCGACCCGATCATCATCGCACCCGCACCATCTCCAAAAAGTGCAACCCCAACTAGGTCATACGGGCGGTTAACATTTGGTGGTTTGTACCCGACAATAGTGGTTTCAGCTGTTGCAAGCAGGACCCGGCTTCCCGGGTTGTTTTCGGCTATATCTTTAGCAACCCGTAGTCCTGCTACACCGCCTGAGCAGCCTGAGAAGTAAAGTAGGACCCGGTTGGTGTTCGGGCTTAGCCCAAGCCCTTTGGCTAAGTAAATATCGCCACCTGGGAGTCGGGCCTCGCTAGAGGAAACATACACCAAGTGGGTGATATCAGAAATGGGTCGGGCCCATTTTTTGATGCATGCTTGTGAGGCTTCGATTGCCATTTGTGTAACCGCCTTGTTGGCAATCTCTAGTCTTTGTCTGACTGTTGGTAAGCCTTCGAGTGCGAACTCGGGGTATTTCTCGAGTATCTCTTGTGACATAACCACATACCTTGTTTTCACACATGTCGTTTTGCCTATTAAAAAAAAAAAGAAAAAAAAAAGACAGAATCAAGATAGTATTTAAAAAAGAAAACAAAAATGAAAAGAATGAAGTTTATTACATAGTCGAGTGAGCTTCTGTTTGAGTTCCGGGTCATCACAATTGGTATCCTTAAAATAGCCTTCAACAAGTAGATCTTGCATAACAAGTTGGTGAGGGAATGCTTTCCCAAGAGCCAAGATGTTGGCTTTTCCGACACTTGATTTGGTTGTCATCTCTTCACTTTTTTTTGTATTTAAGCAAAAGGATGAGATGAAAAGTTTATTATTGATGTTGGTTTATATACACACATTGGTTGAGTGTTTTATGGAAAGAATCTTGACAAAATCACTCAAAGGGAGAGCAAAGAAGGGAGGTTATGGTTTTCTTTTTTAGGAGATGTAAAAGGGTTAGTTGAAGTGCAAGAAAGTCATGAAAAAAATGCACTAAAGAAGTAAGTATTTAGCGGGTGGCTTGTTATTAGGATCTAGTTTCAAGGAGTGTCTTTGGTGTGAACTCTAGCCACTAGTCACTTTTTGCAGACAAATCAACATTAGTATCATCAGTCAATATCAGTCTCAGTCCCAATCAGATGCACGACAAACATAATACAATAAAAGATTCATATGTGAAAACTCAAAAGCATAAATAAAGGTTACAAGATCGACAAAAACTTATAGAAAGTTGTATATTTTCCAAGTATTGGATTTGTGGAATGTGTCTTGAAAGACAATTCCTATTCGAATTTGCCTACATCAATGTGGACACATGTCGTCATATCATTTGTTCAATACAAATCAATTTTGTTACAAAAAGTCGATTTTACCCCAGTTCAAACATGATGGTGAAGACGGTTTCAAAGTTCTGAGATGGATTTTCCGCTGATGTAATCAACCACTTGAGCCACTGATTGACCGAGTGCAACCGTGACAGCTGTCAAATTTTGCAAAAATTCTTCGGAAGTTGGTTTATCTCCATCAACAATATCAGTGACAGCTTTTATAAAAATTGCAGGAACTTTTAAAAGATCTGCCACGTAAGCAACAGCAGCACCCTGAAAACACCAAATAGTTTTTTTTTTTTCATTAGTAATAAATATACGCATTTATTCAGACAACACTTTTATCTCAAAAAACTTACCTCCATGTCTTTGACTGTTGCATCATTTGCAATTATGGAAGATTCATCCATTGGAGTCATATCCAAGGAATCTCCAGTTGACAGTTTGCCAACCTGGAATTTACAAGAAATATTATCTCAGATATTTCAAAATGTTAAAAAAAAAATGGTGTTTAATAATTTTATTTTTTTAATGTCTACCTTAAGGTTGAGGTCCTTTAACAGATTTGGTGTTGAGCAACCTTTTCGCAAACCAACTCCATACAGATCAAAAACCTGCATTAATTATTACACAGAAAATATCAAAAATGAACAAAAGGCAAAAGGATTTTTCTAGAATAAATATATTATGAAATTGCTAGATGAAAAATACAAAAAAGGGTAAGTCATATAAGTGAATATTACTGGGATTGGTATCCTTCTATCATGAAAGGCAACTGCTGATGCAGCATACACATCACCAATACATGCTCCTTTTGCCTGAAATTTTTATAAAGTCAAATAATAATCTTAAAAATAAATTAGGAAAAAGAATATAATGGAAAAAAAATACTTACTTTAAAGCCACCAGCAGTGCCAGCATTTATAATAAGGTCTGGCTTTAAGGCTTGAATAGCAGCATAAGTCACAAGAGATGCAGAAACAGTGCCAACACTGTCAACTCCTGAGAAATAATAATAAAGAATTAATAAAATTTATTTACATTCAGACATTTGTAAAGACTGACTGAACAACTAAAACTCACCTAAAGTAGCATCTTTCCCTGGCCATATGATGTTTACATTCAGACCTTTGTAAGAGCCATGATAGCGGACCCAAGGTGTTCCTTTTGGGAACCTGTGTGATTAAATTTGATAATTACAATGTATGTATATATAATATAGTATTCCCTTTTCTCTTTTTTATGTTAATGTATCGGAAGCCTTTTCATTTCAATTAATCGAATCAAGCTTTCTGCCCCATGTGATTCAACCCTGACATATTTTATCAGATGCAGAACTGATTGTCCTTTTGATTTTTTAGGGCCAAAATAATCAGACACTAGGATACTGTGTTGCTACAACAAATCTGGGTAAATGTAAAATTAGGTATAGTTCGTTGAAGGTCACAAGGATCACTTCGATCACACATCCAAAATTGATTAAGGCGTCTTAGCAGAACTGATTGTTGAACGTCGCGAAACCCAAATGCCCCTTTAACACAGCATGATAACTTAAAGCAACTAACCTCACAAACTAGAATAAGCATTTCTCCCTTTCTTGAGAGACATAATCGACTACTTAGAGGAACGCAAAACATAATTCTAACAATAATGAATAAGTAAGATGTTGAGAATTGAAAAGAAGGAGCAAAAACTCACGGAGAATTTAGGTCCTCCGTCAGCTTAAAAGTGTCCACAAGAGGAAGTGCTTCCGTTTGCATAGCTGCTCGAGTTTCCATTTAAGAAAATCATAATCATGACCTACTACTTCACACAGACACAAGTACATAAATATATTTGTGTAGAGAGAAAAGGTAAAGTACCGATGATGATAACGATAGTAGAAATATGGTTTTCGGAGGAGGGGATAGCTGAAACGGTCTCCTGGTTGCTGCCCTTCTCATTTTCAGCATGATTAAGATCCATCGTCGTCGTCGGCAGCGGCGGCTCGGCGGTTATTTTCTCTCCCTAATAATCCGACAGAGGAGAGAGAAAGGAAATTGGAGGAGCGAATCGGGTAGAGACGTCTTGTATAAAAAGATTACATTATAAATGGCAAATTGAACAGGTTATTCCATTCATATTTGTTTAGGAAAAAAAAAATGTTAATTTTAAAGTTTAATGTGAAAGCATCTTCAATGTTTTTTTTTTTCTAGCTTAAAAGAGAAAAGAGAGCTCGTTTATCATTTATTATTCACAAAATTATATAAATGGTGTTGGAAAATTGAAGTTGATTAGTATCTTTGTTCTTTGTTCAACGTAGGTTGGGAAAGAACATTATATGAGTTTATAAGGTTGTTAAAAGATGTGTGAAGCTCACATGTGTATCTAAAAATGTCTGCGGACGTTAGGTTTCGCAAAATGGCACGATTCAATGTCACTTTGCACTTCACATGCTGCATTTGGGCGGTTTCGGTTGGAGTTGACTATGTGTTGACTTCGTAAATAAGATTGAAGGATCTTTTAAAAACTCTCAGTGCTAAGACGTCACATGGTTGCTATCATCACAGTTTCACATTTTGGGAGGCTCTTAGGTTTTCTACGAGTATAAATACGGCCTCCATGGAGTTGTATTCCACACACCAAAAATCGAGATCTCCTTTCTTCTCTCTTTGCGAATTTGCAAAACGGCTGTTCCAAAATTCTCAAATATTCCTCGTTTCTGAGTATTCATTTTGCGTTTATTGGTTTTCTATACAGGCCGGTCCAAGCCGATTTAAAGCCCATGGCCAAAATTGAAAATGAGGCCCTTTTCGACCTTCAAAGTGGAAGGAATAACTTTGAAGGAATACATTATGACAATTTAAAACAATGAATAAATAATCCCATTTTTTTCTTTCATTATTAAAGCACATGGTTGTAAGTTAAAACGCCATTGTATAAAAGAGATATTCAACAACATTTGTCATTTCTTGCATCAATTTTTTTTATGTATGACACCTAAAATCATCGTTACTGTTAAAGTTTTGATTTTTACAACTAATGTAATCAGACCATAATATGAAAATATATAGACCAAGTGAAATGGACATAATTGTTATGAAAATATACACATGTAATGATAGTAGACAAACACAGGCCACATCATTTGCCAAATGGAGTAAGGGGGCATTATCGTCCGCATGTACAAAGAACTCATCAGTCGGGGTAAACAACAACCCAAATTTGAAGAGCATGAAATGATTAAAATTTGATCAATGGAGCACCCTCCAAACAAATAGAGAAACAATATGACGTTTTTTTCGGCTTCGTACTAAGGCTAAGGGGTATGGTCACCACCAACCCATTAGAAAAGTGCTGCTAACTCAAAGTCACATGTCAACTACCAAACCACTAGCTCTTGGAAATTGTTGCCACTCAACAATTTTTATCTTTTTATATTTTATTTTTTCTTTTGTCATTAGATTAAATAAAAATAATAATTTAAAACATAAATAAATATTTTACATTAATTAAAAACACAAAATTTTAAATCCTAAATTACTTAAAAAAACATAATAAATTAAAACCTAAATTACTAAAAAAACATAAAACATACCAAATAAAACGTAAATATTAAAACACTATAACCTAATTTCCATATTTTTTGTGGACTTGTTGGATTTTTAGAAAAGTCGCTAGATTTTTCGGGTCGAGATTTGGTTGGGGCTTTGTGTTTATGATTTGAAGATCGGTAAGTGCTATTTTCTGGCGACGAGCTTCCTCCGTTGCTTCATATTTTTTTTCTAGAAAACTTTGAGTTTTGATTATTTTTTTCCGCAAGTACGTCTTTGCTACTCGCTTTTCCGCTTGAAGACACCGCCTTTTCACTTTGTCCATTTTCGGTGGTCGACGCAGTTGGACTTCCGATGGACCCTCCCCCTCGGTGTCGTCGAAGTCATCGTTGAGGTTGAGGCCAAAACCCACGTTTGACTTGGAAGTTCTTGGCCTTTTGTTGGAGCTGGTGGTAGATCCTAAATGCACCGTCTCCAGATAAATGACTCATTTTCGACCTTTACGACAAACTTTCCACGCTTTTTGGTTACCGAATGGTTTACTATTATTGGTAATTTTGTATTGGTAGCATGCGGTTGATAAAATGTTAAAATCGTTGCTACCACTTTTGTACATATTTTTAAGATTGTCAAATATGCCATTAAATTTGGTGCAAGTTGCTCGTAGGTCACGCCATTTTTCATTGACCGCGTTGTACGTCCGACCCATTTCCCTTCCTAATAGCGCGTTAAAGTGGTCTAAAATATGATTCCAAAAACTTTGACCTGATTGCGCGTTACCGAGTTGCCTGTCTTACGATATGAAAATCCAAGTTTTCGCTAAAGCTTCCTCCTCATCTTCGTTTCATTGCGTAGTTTTTTTAGAGCTTTTCCTTTTTGTTGCCTTCTTTAAGATGATCATTGTGTTTCTTGGACCCGTTCTTCACCTTCGTTGTCGAGGTTTATAGGTTGGGATTGAGATTGAGATGATAAGACTTGAGACGATTGTGAAGGTTGTGGTTGAAATTGTTGAGGTTGAGAAGATTGAAGTTGAAATTGTTGAAAAGGTTGTTGTTGAAAGACTTGAAATTGAGGTTGATTGAATTGTGGTCGTTGTTGTTGGTAGCAGTTTGGGTGGTATGAAAGATTGGTGAATAGAGATTGTTGGTGGATTGGGGATGTTATCAATTGCATGTAACTAAGATTTGCATATGGATCATTTGAAGTGTTTGGAGTGTTTAGGGTGTTTGGAGTGGTGATGTATTTTGGTTTGGATCTATAGGTTGAAGAAAAAGTGAGAAAATAGAAAGAAATTGTATTTTTTTGTAGTGTGAAATATATAGAAAATGGGTGGAATTTATAGTTGTAGTTTGTGTTTTTAAAATTGAAAATTAAATAAAAAAATTTATTTCAACAGATACATAACAAAAACAGTCAAATATGCGACCGTTGTTGCTGCTTTCTTATTCGTAGTCACTTCACACCCAAGTCACCGATCCATGGGGGGGTGTTCACGCTTCCTTTAGGCTGCCACGTCGGAAGTCACATGTCTGTTGCACCACCATACCGGATAACCTAACCCAATTATGCTTCTGCTTTCTTGAAAATGACTGCGAAGCCATGTATTGCGAGGAGACATCAAATATTCATGATTGCTTATTGAAAACCGAATTTTGAAAGGTGTTAGACATCATTTATTAAGAATAAAAAAAATTCTCTAACTAATGTTGGGCCTTTATTAACATTCTATTAGATTAATAAGTAAATTTTATAAAAAAAATCCAGAAGATTCATACATCTCAACTTAAATGCATCAACCATCTCAATATATATATATATATATATATATATATATATATATATATATATATATATATATATATATTTTGGAAAAATCAATAGAAAATGCATAAACCTAAAAAAAACCCTACAAATATATAAACAAATACTTTAAGATATCTATTTTTTTGACATTACAAACATAAAAATCGCTACTTTTTTATAAAATAACTGAAAAAAATTATTTCTTTTTACAAAAAAGAATTTCAAATTTTATTTTTCAACGATTTTGTTCCAAAACTTGCGATTTTTAGCCCTATAAAGTCAATATATATATATATATATATATATATAATATATATATATATATATATATATATATATATATATATATCTTAAAGTATTTTTTTTCTATGTATTACTATTGATTTTCTAGGTTTTAGGGTTTCCAAACCTTTATGCATTTTCTATTCATTTTTCCGATATATATATATATATATATATATATATATATATTGTGACATCCCGTAATTTCTCGGCCAGAAAAGACCGATTTAATTTATGCTTTTTAAAATAAAATCAGAGAAATTTTTTCAAAAGATGTTGCGGAATTGGTCCCCAAACAACATATGATAAAAGTTTATCAAAACTCTTCATTAAGAAGGTATATATTTTCCATATATATCAAAACCTCGGGATGTCATGTTCCGATACAGATCAAAAGCATAAACAAGACATTATAAGCCTTACTACAGTTATTTACAACTACTGGCCTATAATCCAAAAATCTCACGTCATCCTCCGACTATGCTCGGGGTCCACTACCTGTAATCATAAAAAACTGAGTGGGTCAGGCTTGGGAGCCTGGTGAGCATATAGGGTTTTCAACCCACAATAATAATAAACTTATTAAATTCATCAATCAATAATAACCCTGATTACCCGTTCCCGTTATCCTCACTTTACGTCCCTAAACACTTTTCACAAGGGACCTAGCCTAAAGAATATCATCGGGATGGACACTACTGCTAAGGGGTTTCCTTAGCCATACATGTCCTAAAGGCAACCATGAGGGGGTTGGAGTACAACGAATAAACACCCAAGTTCATTAACACCTACAGGTTGCGGGCCTGCTAGTGCTTCCCACTGGACTGTCTAGAAAGTCCGTGGTCGTCATCCAAACTCCGCTAGATGACTGAATCACAAATCACAACGAGGCCTCTCATCACTTTATTTCATCACACACCAACTATCTACCCATGTTCTACCCAACATATTTGTAGATAAAAATACTTATACAGTTTAAAACTTGTATAAAACATCAACTCAACAGTCACCTCAAATAAACAATTAATATATTTACACATAGCACGTATTATAAGGTAAATACTTCATATCTATGTGTAAAATGAAAGTGACTATACACTCACTTGATTTGATGAAAATTGGGCAGCAATTCGTTTCCTAAAACGTTCGTTTCTAATAAAACCGGGAATTTTATTTAGAAACCGGGCTCTGCGAGGGTCGGGCTTCAAAACCGAAAAGATAAATTTTCCGGGCTTCACGGGCACTTCGTGGCGTATTCCGGAGCTTATAATCGATACCGGGGCTTTGGGGGATGTTAAGATGAAGAAAATATGAAGAAAGGGGCTAAATATGGCAAAATCTCAAAAGTAACCGGGAGGGTTCGCATGACCCTTGTATTTATAGGGGTCCGAAGTCCTGATCAGACGGCTGAGAAGGAGCCACGCGTCGCAGATCCGAAGCTCGCAGGGGGATGGCTCGCATGAGGTCTGC